TTTTTATGAGGACATATGTCTTCAATTCTCTTGGGTAGATAGAAATAATATCTCATTATGGTTTTGATTTTTATTTCCCTAATGACTAATGACATTGAGCATCTTTTTAGGGGCTTGTTAGTCATTTGTATATGTTCTCTGAAGAAATGTCTATTTCAAATCTTTTGCCCATGTTTTGATTGGATTGTCATCTTATTACTGAGTGGTATGAGTTCTTTGTAAATTCTGGATACAAATCTTTTATTAAATATGTGTTTTGCAAGTACTTTTTCTATTCTATCACTTGTCTTTTCATTTTCTTTAATGTTGTCTTTTGAAGTGTAAAAGTATTGAATTTTGATGACATTCATTTTATCAATTTTTCCAGAAATAAATTCTTATATTTATAGGCAACTGATTTTTGACACACACAATTCACTGACAAAAAGATAGTCTGCCCAATAGATGGTGCTGAGATAATTGGATATCCACATGCAAAAAGATGAACTTAGATGCTTGTCTAACACCACACTCAAAAATCAACTGAAAATGGCTCTTAGACTTTATGATGCAAGAGATAAAACAATAAAACTTTTAGAAAAAGACATGAAGGATAAACTTTCAAGATCTTGGCTTAGGCAAAGGTTTTTTTTCATCTGTTTTTCAATTCTTGTCCTTATTAAACACAGTTGTGTATGTGGAATGTGTGTACAATGTAGGTAGATAACTATATAGCCACCTTCAGTCAAAATCATAAAATATCTTACCAGGATTGTTAGCTAAAGTTTGAATTATCTTGACACAAATATGTTTAAAGAAAATATGTAAAAGATAAGCAGCAAGCCAGGCAAAACAGGACGTTCAGAGCTTGGCAGGTGGAATGTGAGACAAAGCTGTGTAAATAGTAAATAAATCCCTTCTTCAAATACTTTGCAACGTGTGTACCTACACTGCAGGCTAAGAAATGATTCTAGGCAGTCACTGATTGCGGGTTAAGAAGACATTCTCCTATAGAAGGACGAACTACTGTCAGCTAAGGGGATGCTGCATACGCTAGTGTTTGCAACGATATCATAGGCTACTGTGAAATTCTTAACAGAATATTACTTTCAACATATGTAGAAAAAATTATTGAAGACTGAAAACATAGTTTGTCAAGAAGAAGGTTTTAGACACAAAGCTTCACTTTTAAAGGCACTTTCATCTATTAAATTCTCTGGATTGCACCTAAAATTGTTAATAGCTAATTTCATGGCCAAATTATCATTCTCACTCCAATGAGGGACACGTAAGAATATGGGCACAGCACTTGGCCACTTGTGTTCACGGTGAGTCAGTCAGTGCCTTTCCTGTGTCTCTTTGTGGCAACTGAGGGAGACTTTGCTAGAGCTTGAATCTTGAATTCCTCTATTCAGAGCAACATTCATTTTTCAAAATGTTTCCAGGTATGATTACAACTGCTTATTATTTCATTGCTTCTTATTAACATTTCAGTATCTTTTCACTATTTTAGGTACAACTGATCATTTATACATCTACTTCTCCATCTTAAGAAAGGTAACATGTTTTATCATTCTTTTATCCCTTATATGAGTGGTTTTTTAAATCAGTGGAGCCAATAGTCAAGTACTGGAACTCTGCCTTACAGCACCTGACAAAGGTCTGAGAACATAGACACTTGATAAGTTTTTGTTGGAATGACATAAATATTCATTTTTAATATTGCAGTTTTAAAATTGCATTTCATTAGCCCCAAATGGCAGAAAATATCCAACAGAATCAATCAAATTACTAAAATTCTAGGAGAGACATATTAGAATTATCATTATGGTAATGAAGGCTTATCTTCCAATGGCAAGAGCCAAATGCCAACTTTTTTCTTTCTTGACTACTTAGTGACATGATGTTTTCTCATGTATTCTAAATGAGAATTTAGAATACTCTCTTTCCTCTTAAGTTACAGTCTCTATGTAAATCTCTTGGATAATTTAAAAGTTAGACTTCCAAAATCCAGGATGAAATGGATTTAGGAGATGGCAGACACAGAGCAAATGTCTCAAATGAAATTAGCTGAATTGTCACTGCAGTTTTTGCTAACATATTCTAATAACTATTTCCATCTTGAAAATGGATAGAAACAAAATTTCTACTCAGCTTATCAAAATTTCGCATAATTGAAAGAGGAATGCTAAGTGGTGATACGTATACAGACAGCCTTTTCCCCAACTTGCGGTTGAGTGGATATTAGCAAAGCACATATGCTATGAAGTTTGTGGGTAAAACAAACAGTATTTCACAAAAGACTAGTGAACTGAAAAAAATTCACAAATTCTTTTAAAATACTTTTCTTCTTGCCTAAGATACAACTTAGACTGGTTCTGAATAATTTTCTCAAATACTATCTGCAGCAATCTTCTTGGCTACAGCCCTCCAGCCCTTCAGCCACTACCCGGAAACATTAAGTCCCCTGCAGCCTTACCCTGACCCAAGTGCAGGCATCTACACTGGAGGAATTTTCAGAAGCTTTAGACTAGTAACATATCTGTTCAGTAACAGCCAGCCATTCTGCTGATCCTGCTCTGATACTGTAATCTAGTTTCAGGCACTAAAATTGTATCTTGTTATTTGTAACCAAGCTCCTATCTTGTACTACTTGAAACTAGACCTTAGATTCTTCCACTGTGATCCTCAGTACTACTTTGGGACTTTATTTTGTATCTCAGTTGGTGTAATACTCCCTATAACATTGAGCAAGCTTAGAGCCTGACCCTAGAACTCCAGTCATCATGAGGAGGTCCCCAGTACATGCCACCTGACAGCTATGATACAAACTTCTCTCATCTCTGGATTTCCACTTACTGCCTCCTATCAGACTCCCTGCAGAGACGGTCCTATGCTTGAGCTAAATTCCGCATCAATTGTCAGTTCCTTTCTCCGTGCCTTGTCTAGCATCGGCAGGGCTGTTGGGACTTGGGGTCCTGTGGTCACCCACAGACTGATCCATCTCAATGCTGAGCTCTAATTCTAATGGTAACTCAAATAATACCTCTATTTAAAAGTATCTCTATTCACAGCAGCCAACAATAAGTTTAAAATGCCTCATTAAATACACAGCTGCTGCTTGCAGTTCCAAAAGAAAATACCCCATACCTGTCTGAACGAATCCTGATTTGTATCCGTTAGTTGTGCCATTTTCTGGGGTCACGGTTGATGACACTGAAGAGTTTGGTTTAATAGGGTGGCAAGTGGTAGAGGATTGTCGGCTTCTACATTCTAAAAGGGAGTAAGAATCACATTACTCTGTTAAAAACAGGTGATGAGGATACAGTCCACAAAATCCCTAAAATAAACTGCTGCTCCTTAAGTGGCAGTCACTTTCCATAACAGAGATCCCCCCTCCTCAATCCTGACTCCAACAGAATGTTCAAGCTGGTGAACACAGTTCGTCCACCTAGGGCCTGATGTCATGCTTCGAAGGCAAAGAAATAGTTACAAAAAACAATCAGACTTTTGCTCCTCACAGACTAGTTGCCAGGAGAAAAATTACTCATAACCAATAAGTAATGCTAGTTTTATGGGTAAGCCTCAGTCTTACCCAGTAATTTATAAAAACCCAACCAGCCTCCAAGCACCAGTTAATCTCCTACCCAGGACTGATTTAAGAGTGGAATAGTAACCTAGAGTCCATCTAGGCTGCCTTCAACTGTCTTTACTCAACTTTAATTTATGTCCAAATACAGAAGCAAAGAAAAACTTATAGGCAGAAGAGAAAAATTAGAAATTCTGCAATTCTTATTATTCTCAGTTCTTATTAAAGGAGATAGGAAGACAATATTCAAGGTAATTACTGGTTATACAACACTAGGCTTCGTTTTAAAAGAGTCAATATTAATTGGGGCTCTGATGTAATAGTTTAGTAATACTTGGTACTGATTCAGGTAGATAGTGAATACCATGATGACCTATGGGGCTGTAACTTCCAACCAAATTATGGTATATGTTATACCATATTAGTCTCTAAAGGTAGCATGTGAAAAAGAAATATAAATGGTTGTAAATGACAAAGTTAATTACAGTGGGTTCTTTAAAGAGTTTCTAAGCTTATCAGATACATGCAAAAGTTAGAGGCAGCTTTCTATAACCTTCCATGCTATGACCTTCCTTGAAGAGCTACTGTATTTTGGCTGAAAATAATCTCTTCACCTAAGTATATTAGATGCACATATGTATATTAATATGCTTGTGTATATGTATGTACACATATATACAATTTCAATTCCAAAATAGCAATGGCTATAAATGTGAGGCTTCAGGAGCCACCCAGGACCACTGTATCACAAAGTATTCCACTAATGTCATGCTTTACCACAAAGATGGATTGTCACTGACCACTACATAAGAACTTAAAAATACTTAATGCAACCAAAGCAAAAGCTTAAAAAGGTAGTTAAAAGGCAGGGTAGGTGATAGCTATCCTATTTTTACTCTTTTATTAGGGTTCATGAGATTTAAAATGACTTTTCCAGAGGAAAATTCTTTAGATTTCATCAGGATAAAGAGTTATCTACAATTTACTGTGCTTACAATTCAGGGCTCACAGCCATTAAGTTCTGATGATCCCTAGTTCAGAACATGTAGTCATTTCCTAAGGAGTTATATAATCTCTCCTCAGATGCAACCAAGAGGAATTACGGTATGAGACTCAGAGACAAATCTGCAGTTGTAATTTGAATTTGTTATGCTATGTTTCATGGTCAGGCCAAGATCTTGCACAAACAACAAACAGAAACATTAAAGACAATTATTCTGTTGTCTTTAATATTATTATAATATTAATAACGGAGGGGAAAATCTCAGCAAATAAGAAACTGCTCAAAAGAATGAGGATTAGATATTCCACTGATTAAACAATGGACAGAACTTGTGGTAAATCCTACCAACCACATGAAGATGTGAGGTTTCAACTGGATTCATTTCTATAAATAAGTTAGTTAAAGGACAGGATATAGCTCAGTGGTATAGTGTGTGCTTAGCATGCATGAGGTCCTGGGTTCAATCACCAGTACCTCCATTAAATAAATAAATAAACCTAATTACCACCCCCCTGCCTTTAAAAACAAAAAGTTAAGTTCATCCTAACTGCAGAGAAATAAAACTTCATCAACTTAATTGTGCCCTTTCCCAAATAAGAAAGCATTATTTATTCTAAAGTTTGCTTAGGTCCGATAGAAAAATATAGATGCTTGAGAATTACCAAAGAACCTAAATAAAAGTAGAAAGTGCATCTGACCAGGAAACTGACACTTTGAGTTCCTCTCTTAATGACAGAAGAGCTAGAAAGAGCCCATCCCCCAGCCCCTCCCCACAAGAGCTGCATTCCACATGCCTAAGAGACAAATACAAGGAGACATGTACTTTCCCAAACTTGAATAGTTTCTGTTAAAAACAAAAAGGAGCAAGTCAAACAACCTGCCAGAGGGCTTTACATTCTGAGATAGTCTTCTGAACGTGGGATATTTATCTGTTCCACACCTGAATTCTGAACTCTTTATGGGTCACTTGTCAATGTCCCAACCTCTACATTCCCCTCCGGTTCCCTCCCGGAAGTTGACGCTACCTTTCCAGCAGATAAGAGGTCCCTTCGACAGTACACCCTGGGAGCTTCTGACTAGGTAGTACTTTAAGTGCTTCTGCTTCTTTGGCTGGGTGGTGAGCTTCAAGTTAATGTGGTTGGAAAATTCCGTGAAATACCGAAATCCTCTTTCTCCACAGCCGATACAGTTTCCAGAAAACCCTGAAAGGAAGGAAAACAAAGTTACTGGTGGCCTTGTAAATTGTTACGATACTTTTACACATAAAAAGCATAGAAATATTCACCCTTTGGCCCAATAATCTCTTAATTTCAAAGAAATCATTCAAAGGGGAAAAACAGGTACAAAAAATTTTAGCAGTTATTTTACAACAGTGAAAGACTGAAAATATTTAAAAACTTTAAAATGCTCTAAAGGGATAATGGTTAAGAAGATACAATGGATAGTATCATATGAGAATTTATACAGTTGACATAAAAATAGAAAAGTTTGGTCCTACAGATGTCTATTATTTCTTCCCTACCTATTGTCTTCTTAACCTCCTGGCCCTAGGTCTCCTCCCTATCTATCAAGTGGACTTGAATTCATGGCCACAACTGATTTAGACTGTGGACCAATATCTGACCCAATCTTGGACAGTCAGAGTGTCTCTCCTGGACTTTTGAAATAAATACAAAAAGAATCAGTCAGATGGTACTGAACCCTAGATATGCAAGGTTTTGTAAAATTGGAACCTAAGTTGGGGCTATGTCAGCTAGGGTGTGGGGGAAAGCAAACTGAGAACTGTGAAGAAGCTGACCTCCAGATATGAGAACATGGACAGAGATGTGTAACTAATCCAGCCATACTTTTTGACACAAATTCCCTGAGATTTTCATTTCTTCTCTATTCAACTGCTCTTTATGCAAACTAGCTCATTATTCCTTTAGACTTAACATTCAAACAACTCTCACTCAGATTAATCAAACAAAAGAAGACTTTCAGTGATCTTCTTGGAGCAGAGAACATGGAAAGAAGCAGAAATGGAGAAGGCTGGGAGGATGAGAGGTCATGCTTTGCTTGACTGAAAATCAACTTTTCAGTCTCCCTTATTACACAGAAGGAAAGTGTACAGTAAGGAACTGAGTTCTTCTGGTTATGAGTTATGGGACATAACACATGTACAGTCATACTGATGACCAAAGGCATTCCAAACTGCATAGACACAACATCTCCATATACAAATAACTAACAGAAAATAAATTCACTGATAAAATAGTATACTCTTTTTAAACCCCCAAAACAACCTGTTATATAATTAACAAAGATATATAAGGAGAGAAGAGAAAGACCACAAGGATTACAGACAGAAAATCTCCCAATGTCCCAATCTCAGAATGCTGATAATCAGTACAGAACATTTAGAAATGGGCAGCCCAATTTATTATTATTCATTCAACAATTATTTATCGTGCATCGACCTATATGCCAGGCATTGTGCTAAACACGGGAAAAACAGTGGAAGAGACAGTCACAACCTCTGGTCAGTTAGATAAGATTAGTAATTCTATATAATTAGTTTGCCATCATCACTTTATAGAAATATAAACATTAATATATTTTTGTAAGTTATTCAAAACATATTCAGAGATGGATTGCATTTGAGAGTATTTGGCTATTTGTCCAGTATCTTAGAGCTGTAAGCCCAAACCAGAAAAATATCAGTGGCTGCCTAGTCCACCAAATTCCTAAAGCCATCTATCTATACATTCATCCACCCATCCACCAATCCATGCATCCATCTAACCAACATCTACCTGCCTGTCCATCCGTCCATCCATCCAAAAACTATCTGTACACTACTATGTGCTAGGCATTATTTCAGGTACGAGGTTTTTAGCACTGAACAAAGAAGACAAAGCCACTGCCTCGATGGAACTTACTTTCTGATGTGATTATCATGCCTTGATGGAAAACTGGCTGACCTATGAGGCAGATGCAACACACCCAAAAGAAAAAAGAAATAAGAAACTTCAGCTGAAATAATTAGAGACAGCGCCAAAAAATGAGGCTTATCTGATAGGTCCAAGTACTTCATAAAAGATGAATGTGAGAATTAGAATTAACAAATTATTGGGGTTAGGTTTTATCTTTCACCTTTTCCTCTACCTGTTTTCTAAGGTGAGAAGCAAGAGAGTGTGTGGAGGAGGAAAAACAATAGATTTGGATAATCTTCAAAGAAGAGAAACTTTACATTAATGATGAGAATGAACAATATAAAAGAGTAAGAATTCTCTAGTCCATTTTTTAAACTCTGCATGGCGTCAGTATTAACCTTGGTTCAGGAGAGATTTAACTGCTCAAAGTTCTTGCTGCCATTATCACAAAAAATAACACCTCTTACAGCCAAATTATCTTCTAGTTTTTCTAGCAATCAGATCTTACAATTGCATGGCAGATTTGGGGCACCTGCACTGCCAACTGGCTCAATATAGTTTAAAATCAATTCCCCCATAGTCTTTGGAATCTGCATAATTTATATAAAAATTTAGACAAACTGATATTGGAGTCTACAGGGATTCTAGAATATTTTAAGCATAAAAAATTTCCCACTATATCTTGATACCTACTAAAATCATCCATTATAAGTAAGCAATATTGGATTAATGTTACTTTTGGACAATAGAGTACTGAACGTATAAAAATCTCAATGTACTTATTTAAGAGAACACTTAACCATTTTGTTGCACTACACTTTCACTTGGAGAAGTGGCTAATAGAAAATCATGTTCGTTTACAAGGCTAAAGAAGGTAAACAAAGTTCCATGTCTATAAGGGCATTTAATAAATATGATAGAATGGCAGAATAATTACCATTTAAAGGGCAAGTACCATGTGCCAGGCACTGTGTTAATGGATGCCTTAAAAAAATCATCTCCTTTGACCTTTATAATCCTGCAAGGTAGGCATTATTGGCTCCATTACATAGATGAGAAATCTGAGACTTCAAGGAGATAAGTAGCTTGCCCAAGTTCTTAAAGTGCTAAGCAGCAAATCTGGGATTTAAACACGGTTCCAATTCCAAAGTCCATGGTCTGGTTTCATATTCCTGATTACAAAGGATTATAAAATCTATTATTCTGATGATGTTTTCTGTGTCCTTTCCATGATGTATTCTAAGAGGATTCCGCTAGTCATGAAGAGTCATTGAGCAAAAAGGCATTATGAGAGATTCTTCTCTGTAGTCAGAACCACATATGAACTGTTCCATTCAGTGAAACCTTGATGCTTTTCAAAGTGTTAAGAAGAAGTTTCCCCCATTGCACAAGAGATTTTCTTATAAAACTGCCTTTTTCCCCAAGGAATTAGGCCATTCAGAAAATGAATGATGAACCACAATAAATAAGCCTTACAAGTAAAAAAAAAAAAAAAAAGAAGAAGAAGTTTCCCGAAGTTGTTCTACCAGAGTCAACTAGGTTGCTAGCTCTGTGATGGAAAGGACTGTGTCTTATCATTCTTGTGCCTGCATGTCATAGCCTAACATGATTTTTGGAACTCATACTGTCAAATGAATGAATGAACAAATGAATACCTGGATCTTCCTTGTTAATTTAGTCCAGTGTATAAACTTTACCATTAGGTTCCTATATTAAACCATCTGCTCAGTTTTACTAGAAGAAAAAATGGATTTTTTTTAAAAGGAGAGTCTTATGAAAATGAAAATCACCGTTTCTTTTCCTGTGAACCAAGAGAAGGCTTTGAACTGTAGTTTAAGGAACATTTTTAAAGCATGTGCAGGATCACTTTCTGACTCAAGATATTGATCTATGTATTTCTAGACTTTCTGATAACTGGGAGGAGTCATAGGAAGAGTGCATAAAACCAAACAAACACACAACTCACAATCAACACATTTCTTGCATTCTTTGCCCTCTTCTGACTTTTTCATTTTTACTGATATTTGTGCTGAAGACACATATCTGATTCTATCTACAGTGAGAAATTCTGAGAAATAAAAGCAACTCCGGAGAAACACAGCAGCAAAAGAAAATCAACAAACCTCATATGCCCTCTTATTTGTCTTTTCAATTATTAAGAATAATTTAAGGGGTTCGGATCAAGATGGCAGAGTAAGATATGGAGCTCACCTCCCCCAGTGAACACATCAAAAATACATCAACATGTGGAACAATTCTCACTGCAAACTAACTGGAAACTGACAGAAGGACTCCTGTACAACAAGGCTGTAGTGATCAGGTCGAGACCTGTGCTCTTGGGAGGGGACTCAGAGGAAAGGGGAGGTTACACGGGTGGACACCACCCTGCGGAGTGGATGGTTTGAGCCACAGACTGGATGTCCCAGTCCTGGGGTCCTATGCAGAAAAGACAACCTCCTCTTGGCTGGTTGGAGGGCCACTGGGACTACCAGAATGGCTGAGGGAAGCCTGGACTCCACTCATGAGGAGTGCATTTGCTGGCTCGCTCCCAAAGCGGGTAGAGATAGGTCTGCTCTAGCAGCTGCTGAGTTTCTCACAACCACCTCACCAGGTGCTCTAGTGCAAGTTCAGCGAAAGCTCCAGCCCCGCTCACTCCATGTCACAGAGTAGCACAGTGGGGGAGGTAGAGGCAGTGTCTGAGTGGGGTAGTGGCGGTTATCGTTGGCACTTACTCAAGCAGCACATCAGAAGCACCCCAGATCTCTGATCCAGCTGCTCCACCAGAACCCACCCCCCTACATACAGAGACTCCACATGGGCCCTGTCTGCCGTGTAGAGCCTGGAGGCAGGGATCGATTGGCTATGAGGAACAAAGGAGGCTTGTACCTGAGGCTGCATTTGCATGGTTGATTCTCAGTCCTTACTCAATTTCTTTAGAAATTGAAAGGCAAATATATAGCAAAGGCTGAGAATCAACCACTTAAATAAGCCAATACAAAGATTAAAAGGCAAAAAACTGTAAAAGTAACTGAAACTACAATAAATAGTTAAGGGATAGGCACATAAAGATGTAAACCATGACATTAAAAACACAAAATGTGAAGGAGGGAAGTAAAAAATATAGATCTTTTAGAATGTGTTTGAACTTAAATGACTACCAGTTAAAAACAGTAGATGTAGTTATAGGTCAACACATATGACCCCCATAGTAACCACAAATCAAAAACCTACTAGAGAGCCACAAAATCTAAAAAGAAACTACTAGAGAAAAAAAAATCATCAAGCCATAAGGGAAGAAACAAAAAGAAGAAGAAATGAACAGAGAAGAACTATAAAAAAGAACGGGAAAACAGGTAATAAAATGGCAATAAATACATTCCTATCAATAGTTACTTTAAATGTCATAGACTAAATGTTCCAATCAAAAGACATAGGGTGAAAAAATAATAATAATAACAAAAGCCGAACTTACAGTAATAGAGAGTGGAATGGTGGTTACCAGAGGCGAGGGTGGAGGAGGAAAAGACAAATTTTTTAAAAAGAAGAAAAAGAAAGAAAAAAATTGTGGTTTCCAGGGGTTAAAGGAAGAGGGTCACAGGGTGCTAATGTTTAATGGGTACAGAGTTTCAATTTTGCAGGATGGAAAGAGTTCTGTGGTTGGGTGATGGTGATGGTTGCACAGCTTAATACCACTGAACTGCATACTTGAAATGGTTAAGATGATAAATTCTGTATGTATTTTACCACAATAAAAATTAGACAAAAAAAAAAGACATAGGGTGGCTGACTGGATTAAAATACAAGACTCTTCTATATGCTGCTTACAAGAGACTCACTGTAGAGTTACGACACACACAGACTAAGTGAGGGGGATGAAAAAAGTATTTCATGCAAATGGAAACGACAAGAAAGCAGAGGTAGAAATACTCACATCAGACAAAATAGACTTTAATGCAAAAGCTATAACACACAAAAGAGAAAGAAGGGCATTATGTAATGATAAAAGGATCAATACAAGAAGAGGATGTTACACTCATTAACATATATGCACCCAATACAGGAGCATCTAAATACATAAAGCAAATACTAACAGACATAAAAGGAGAAATCGGCAATAATACAATAATAGTAGGGGACTTAATCACTCGACTTACATCAATGGACAGATCATGCAGACAGAAAATCAATAAAGCAATAGTGGTCTTAAGTGACACAATAGGCCAGTCAGACGTAACAGATATCTACAGGACATTACATCCCAAAGCAGCAGAATACATATTCTTTCTAAGAACATTCAGTGGAATATTCTCCAGGACAGATCATGTGCTAGACCAAATTTAAGAGGACAGAAATTACAACCATATGAAACTAGAAATCAACTACAAAGAGGAAAATGGGAAAAGAACAAACACGTGGAGACTAAACAACATGCTTCTAAAAACCAATGGGTCAATGAAGAAATCAAAGAGGAAATCAGAAAATATCTCAAGACAAATGAAACACTCCAAAATCTATGGGATGCAGCAAAAGTAGTTCTAAGAGGGAAGTTTATGGTGATGCAGGCCTTCCTCAAGAAACAAGAAAAATCTCAGATAAACAATCTAACCCACTACCGAAAGGAATTAGAAAGAACAAAGCCGAAAGTCAGCAGAAGGAAGGATAAAGATCAGAGAGGAAATCAGTATAATAGAGCTTTTTTTAAAAATAGAAAAAAGATCAATGAAATCAAGAGCTGTTTTTTGAAAAGATTTTAAAAACTGATAAACCTTTAGCCAGGCTCATCAAGAAGAAAAGAGAGAGGACCCAAATAAATAAAATAAGATATGAAAGAAGACAAATAACAACTGATGCTCCAGAGATAAAAAAAAATTGTAAGAGAATACTACAAAGAGTTATATGCCCACAAACTGGACAACCTAGAAGAAATGGACAAGTTTCTAAAAACATACAACCTACCAAGACTGAATCAAGAAGAAATAGGCAATATGAACAGATTGATCACTAGCAGTGAAGTTGAATTTCTAATAAGAAAACTCCCAGCAAAAGCACATGAAAAGATGCTCAACATTGATGATTATTAGAGAAATGCACTATGGAAAACAGTATGAGGTTCCTCAAAAAAAAAAAAAAGAAAAATAGAACTACTTTTTATCCAAAAATTCTAGTGCTGGGTATATAGCTGAAGAAAATGAAAACACTAATTTGAAAAGATACATGTCCTCTAATGTTCATAGCTGCATTATTTACAATAGCATAGATAATGGTAGCAACCTAAGTATCCATCAACAGATAAATAGATGAAGATGTGGTGTATACACACACACACACACACACACACACACACACACACACAGTGAAATTCAGCCATAAAGAGAATGAAATTCTGCCATCTGTAACAATATGGATGGACCTAGAGCGTGTTATACTTAATGAAATAAGTCAGACAGAGAAAGACAAATACTGTATGATATCACCTACATGTGGAATCCAAAAAATAATACAAACGAATGTATATAGCAAAACAGAAACAGACCCACAGATACAAAAAACAAACCAGTGGTTACCAGTGAGTAAAGGGAAGGGTAGGGGCAAGATAGGGGTGTGGGACTAAGAGATACAAATTTCTAGTATAAAATAGTACAAAATAGGATATATTGTACAGCCTGAAGAATTACAGCCATTATCTTACAATAATGTTTAATGGAATATAATCTGTAAAAATATTGAACCGCTATGCTATACACCTGAAACTAATATAATATTGTAAATTAGCTATGCCTCAATTAAAAATAATTTAAAAAATAAGTCTGTTCTTTGTCATTTCCCATGACATAGGGAAGCTATGTTGTGAAAAAAGGCCAGATTCAAAGTAATACTAGAAAAATCATGCCATTTGCAGCAACATGGATGGACCTAGAGATCATCATTCTAAGTGAAGGAAGCCAGAAAGAGAAAGAAAAACACCGTATGATATCACTCATACATGGAATCTAAAAATAAAAGACTCTGAACTCATCTACAAAACAGAAACAGACTTGCAGACATAGTAAACAATCTTATGGTCACTGGGGAAAGGGGATGGGAAGGGATAAATTTGGGAGTTTGAGACTTACAAATGTTAGCCACTATATATAAAAATAGATTTTAAAAAGTTTCTTCTGTATAGCATAGGGACCTATATTCAGTATCTTGTAATAACCTTTTATGAAAAAATATGAAAATGAATTATGTATGTATATACATGACTGGGACATTGTGCTGTATACCAGAAATTGACACATTGCAATTGACTGTACTTCAATTAAAAAAAAAACAAAGTAATACTAGAAAGTAAAACAATTCTGAGATAAAGTTTTATATCATTTATATCATTTTGTATCATAGGTATATTCCCAATTCTCTTGGTTGAACTAATGCTAAATATAAAATGAGAATCATATCAATCAAATGGAGTTAGGAATAATTGGTGGTATGGAAAAAATACCAATAACTCACAAAATGGATAATCCACAGCTGAATAATTGAGAGTTGACCTGATACCGGATTCCAGATCAATGACTCTATGGAGAGTGAATCCTACTTTGTTTTACAAAATACTTATTTTTGATAAATTACATGCTGTCCTTTAATACCTGGTTCAAAAAAGTCTCTTCATTAAAGTGAATGCTTTGAGAGTACATTTTAAAAGAAAGCTGATTTTTAAGAAGTTACTAAATGAAAAAATGTTCCTTACATAAACTAAACTATATCATCCCCAACTAACTTCCTGATTTTAAAAATTCTGTGATACTTTAAAATAAACTTGTGTTTTAACGCCTTTATCTCAGAAGGAATTGTACAGGTATGAAATACTCACCTAAAAGTGCATTTTTCCCATGATCATCTGGTAGAAATCGCTTGTCTACAGCACACACTAGGATGTGTTCAGGAAGATTAGGAGACTTGGCCCCCACCAGGAGGAATCCTGCTGGGATATCAATTTGTTCCATACACAGAGATACCAAACGCAAATCCTTTCCTGCTTGACAAAAACCTAAAAATGAGTAAAAATGACACAGAGGAATGTTTAGAGGGGTTATAACTCCTCATCACCTATTTGGGGGGTAGATTTATCTGTGGGAATTACTATTAAGGACTAAGTTTAAAGTCCATCACCCCAACCAAAAGATAAACCAGCCATATCTGCCTCTCTGAGTGGAGCTGAGAAGACAATAAAAGGAAGTATTTCCAACTGTCTTAACCAATATTGATAACTCGATATTTTCTGATCCACAAGTAAGCAAACGGTAAGTATGCAGCAAACTCTGAAAAATATATGTAATTTTTATGTGCACGTAATATAGTATTTTTACTTTCAACACAAATTCACTTCTCTAAATGAGGACGATCATAGAACCCAGATGCTCTCCATTCCATACAGGAAGAGACTAAAGCTCAGAGCTTGGTGAATCATAAAGAGTGGGTCAGAACTAGAACTCAGAACTGTTAGGTTATTTTCACTAGATATACATGATAAGATATGACAAAACCTTACATAACCACTTTGTATACCATAATGTATTATGCTAATTCATTAATCATTTATTAAAAATAATTTGCAACAGATACTGCCCTAGGCCTAGGGGAAGAGCTGAACAAAATATATCTTCCTCTAAGAACTCACCTGTAGTCAAGTGGAAGAATGTACAAGGAACTGATAATTACAAAACAGAGGACAGCTATATTCTGCTACAAGGCACTGATCTCCACATCTTCTGGGAAATGATCCTCCCTGTACTCTCATTATGTGATTCCCCTGGAGAGCTGACATTCCAGATCAAGCTGGAGCTGGCACTGCTCCAAGCTGGGCCACTGGAATATCCATCCCCCATTTCTGGCCATAGTTGATTAGCCCAGATATGGGCACCCAACATAAGCCAGGCCAATGTCCCCTGGGAGTTCTGAACATGGAGCCAGGAAAAGCGTGGCTTGGCCTGCTCTGTGGCAGCTTTTTCTTGCTCCCCTGAGAGAAGGCTCAGGGGGAAGGTCCTGGCAGTGTTTGGATCCCTGAAGCCCAGTTGTATCTGCCTTCCTGATGGTTTGGTCTTGAGGCCTTTTGCTTTGGAATTCTTCCAACAACTTCTTAATTCTACCTAAGGCAGTCTGAGTAGGGTTTCTGTCACTTGCAAGCAAAAGAGGCTGAATAAAAGTATGATAAATGCTTTTTCAGAGAGTTGTGGAAGATGGACGGACACCCAACTCTCACACAAACCCAAAGAGACCACCATCGTTATGGCCCAATACAAAGTGGGCCAGAACCATGTTAGACTCCCCCAGCATCAATTCATGTTATGATGTAAACCAAGTGCCAACAAACAATTGGATGCCATCAGTTAATATGTGAGAAGTAAAAAGAAAACAATATCCAACACTGTATGAAGCTGTAGCGCATAGGAGTCTACTGTCTGGTCTAGATCATCAAACCTCAAAAGCAGACATAACAGAATTGTGAAAAGGCAATAAATGAAAGAATAAAATGATAAAGACAATGGGGTTCAACCATTTTAAGCATGCAGATTCCCTTTTAATAATAAAAAAATTAAATGTAACTTTTAGTGTTCATGAATTGAGGAAAACAGTATCAAAATGTTATTGTGAATTCTTTAACAATTTAAGTGAATCTGTATTTTATTATTCACAATATCATCTATATTTATTTGAACAACAGTCATTTATACATGTCAGTCATATTATTTACTCAGTTTACAAACATTTTTCGGAACCTATACGTAGACTCTTAAAGAATCTGCTGTCCCCGTCCCCATTAAGGGACATGACTCACAGGTTTGAGAGTTGGGATTTGATGATGATATTAATGGCAGTTAAAATTTATGGAGCACCGAACATAAGCCAGCTACAGCACTAATCAAGGTACAGACAATTTTATTTCATCTGCTCAACAACTCTACTATCTCCTTTCATATAGGAGAAACTGAGGCTCAGAAAGGTGAGATTACTTGTCCAAGTTTACACAGTGAGTCCCACACTGTCCAGCAGTGATGTAAGACATGGAAAGTTTGCTGTATGAAGACAGGTGAAAAGCATATTATTCACCTTGGTAAAAGAAAAGCTAAGCAAAGTTATAATCCAGAGCTAAAACCATGAGGAGTGAAGGCAGAGTTTTTTCATGAAATTCTAAAATATGAAATCTAGGAGGCATTTTAAAGTCTGAAAGGAGGATGATTTTTTTAATTAAAGGAATTATTAATTTGTATTTGGACAGTGAACCTAGAAACACATCTCCCCTAGGAGGCAGCATCTTTATTATGACGCTCTCCAAAAGGCAGAGCATATGAAATACCTTCCCAAATGGTGTAGAAAATTCAGCGATGAAAGCTTCACTATTACCTACTGATGGAAAACAGGATACTTAAGGAGCTCTCTCTGTCGCTAAGAAGCAGTACCACAACCTTCCTAAACTTTCACTCACTCTATATTAGAAAGAGTAGGTAAATCTGTACAAATTTGTACCGATCTGCAAATTATTACAAGCTTTTTAGAACATCAGAGCTATAAGGAACCTCAAGGTCATCTGGTACAGGGTTTCCCAACTAGTAGTTATCAAAAATCCCTGGGATTCATAAAGGTTTTTTAAAACAGAATGTTCTGAGGGCTTTCCATGCTACACATGTAGGGATAGGGGGAATCAGCTGCCTGAGTACAGGAGTCACTCGACTGAACCTCACGTCAAGGTGTGGCCTGATTATTATACAATTTTAAATGTTATTGTCAGTCACATGTATCGATATGTTGCTTATTTCATACCCATAATGGGCTGTTGGTTAATAAAGGGAAGTTCAGGGAACGTGGGTTGTGCTGATGGACAAAGACATTTTACAAATGTGCCTAAGATGCTCTTTGCTAGGCATGAAAGTTAGATTCAACCCCAACCCTACTTATCAAATTATAAAATTATATAAAAGGCACCATATGCTTCAAAGACACACAAAAAAGCAATGTTACGATAAAATTTTAATGACTATAATCCAGTTTGGATTTTCATCTAAGAGGGAAAAACCTACCTCTTTCAGCAGCATGTTATTTGCAGAGAAATTCTGCAAACAGCAGCCTTTTGAAAGTTTTTCATCACGTAGAGCAAACATTATAAAAACAAACTAGTACATCCTGTTCATCTAAAATGTAGAAATTCCAAAGTTTGGGTATTACAAGTCGATTTTGACTTCTTTTTTTGATGGTGGGAAACATTTAAAGACACTTGGCTCCTCCCTCCTCCACCCCCTCAAAAAGTATAACGTTTCATCCTTGAATTTGTCAACAAAACATGCTTTTTCTTACACAACCCATTTAAAGTAAATTAAACAGCAATTACTGAGTGGTAAAATGTAGACAAGTTTTTCTCATGCATGAATAATATTAAAGAGTATATTAATATTCTGATCTAAAATAAATACTCTCTACTCAAAATTAATTCTCTATCATAGATGCCATACAATGACAGAATTAGTTTTTAAATTCCTAAGGGGTTCAAAAAATGATGTATTAAGAGAGATTTGTGAGTCAGAGACTAGGTAACACTCATCTACCCCAATCTCTTTGGTTGGTAAATGGGGAATCTAGGGCCCAGAAGGTTAAGAACATGGCCCAAGGTCAAATACCCTGCAACTCCAAGAGTTAGGACTGGAAGTTCCCAGGTCTCTTGACTCCAGGTCATAGGCTCCTCCTTCCTCATTAACATCACTCTGACTTGCAGAATGCTTCACTTCCCTGGGCTGATGGAGGACACTTTCCTACAGCTTCTTCTTGCCTATCTTTGCTGAGTCTCATCACCTGACTTTCTAGGCTGAATCCCGGGGGTCGCTTGACACACTAGCTCCTGTCAGCCATGGGCTGTGTCGGCATCCACCTAGCTCACGCTTGCTAACGAATCCTTAAAATTCATGGTTTGGCCAGCCACAAAGGTGTCACGTGATTACAGAGTGACATTTCTGATGAGCATTCTCAAAGCAATACAGTGCAGCCAAAGGGTAATTAAGGAGAGAAAGTATAATTTTGGTTCCGGGCTAAACAGGGGTAGGGAAGGCACAGTGTGGAAAATATCTGAAGAAAGCAGGATTTTTCTCTGGAAGAAAGGTCATTTCAGGGTGATTTGTGTGGTATAATGAAAACTACACAGGTAGCTTTCAGTACCACAGCCTTTGAAGGTTTTCTCATTTATGATATGAGGACACCTAGAGGTCAAAAGTAATAATTATTAATCAATGCCTGGATTCTAGGTTTTCTCATAGGAGGGAGCAAACCTCCTCTTCTTAAAATTTTTTTTTTCAAAAAGCACTTGTGACAATGAAAAGAGAAAAATGTCCTATTTTATGCTAAAAAACCCATAATGATGGGAGTACATAAAAGGGGCACAGGAACCACCTGATATTGCTCCCAATGGCCAGAACTGGAAAAATTTCAGCAAGAAAATAAAATAAAGTAATATTGGATTACAATTCAAAACATAAAATAAATATCCATGAGCATATAATGATATAAATAAATGACTGTATAAATTAATAAATGGGGGAGAAGAGACACATTTCTATGCAGCAGAATTCCAAATAACTTAGGTAAATACTCTGCCCTCCAGGAGATGGAGCATAACTCCCCCTTCCTTACATGTGGGCTGAGCGCAGTGACTTTCTCCCACAGTATAGAAGCGGGGGCGGGGCAAGAGTGGAGATAACAGTATCTCAGCCAGGTGATCAAGGTCAACATCAACTGTCATAAACCATGTTGAGAGCAGGTAACCTTGATACAGTATGACGAAATGGTACTTTACCTCTGTAATCTTCCTCCCTGGAAGCCATAAGCCCCGTCTAATCAGGGGTAAAACATCAGACAAATTCCGATACAAGGTCTCCTAGAATATGCCTGACCAGCAATCCCTGAAACTGTCAGGGTCACCAGAAACAAGGGAAGTCCGAGAAACAGCCGCAGCCAAGAGGAGCCTAAAGAGACATGACAGCTAAATCTAATGTAGTATCCTGGGTGGGACTAGGTGAAAAGGACATCAGGTAAAAAGTAAAGAACCTAAATGAACTATGGGCTTTAATTATCATTAAAATGAATAATAATGTTAAGATGTTAACAACAGGGGAAACTGCAGGGATACACAGAAACTCTGTACTGTTTTCTCAATTTTTCTGTAAATCTGAAACTGTTCTTTCTAAAAAAAGAAGTCTATTTTTTTAAATGTTTTATTTTATCTTCTCAGCTTCTAGTTACTCACCAACACAAGCCACACAGGCAATTTCATTAAGAGGAAAGCGAATAGGAGAGAGAGAGAAGGCAAGGCCAGGTCCAAGAACAGGGTCAAGAAGAAGGCAATCCAAGGCCAACTATGGTTGCAAAGTCAAGGGAAAGTCAAGTTTAGCTTGTAAGTTATTCTGAGAATACGCTCATCTGCCGAGGGTCTGTACTATTTCCCCTAAACCTTCACTTTTGGGATTCAGGTCATGTAGTTATACACAAAATATATCATCAAGGATTCCCAGTTAAGAAAAAAAAACATTATGGAAAGAGCAATATTTAATTTCGTTTTTTTTTAAGTTTGAAAATAAGGTCGGTGTGTCTGTAAAGAAGTAGCTAAAGAATTTATGAAATGTGATTATATTTCGATTCGGATCCAAATACCTGGTGTAGGAGGTAGTTCTATTTCCGCACTATTAGAAATGCATTAGAATATTAATATAATAAAGATCAAATATTAAATATGAATTGAAACCTCAAGCAAAAAGAAAGGAAACCTTACTACTCCCCTGTAAGGTAATTTTAAATTACACCTGAACTTCTGCGGAAAGAAAAGTAGGATCTTTCTTGTAGAGGCTACTGGAAAGCCTGGGAAAGAGTGCCCTAAGGAAGGACGGACGGGAGCCTGTTCACTGTACGCAAGGAAAGAAAGATACTTACTGAGGGGGGCATACAAATAACCATTTATTTGACAGACTTGCCCCCAGATAGTTTCATTTTCTGAGAGCAATACTGAAATGCTGCCTTAAGACCAAGACTTTTGATTTTAATTTTAAAAAGGAGTCAGAGTTCGGGGCCCTTCTTTGTCAGCCTCATCTACATTTCCTTAAGAAAATAGCCAAGGTTTTCACTTCACAGAACCAGATTTGCATTCTCCAATTATCTCCAACTTGAAGGTTACAGAGTAATCTAAATGGGGGAGGGGAAAGTTTACTGAAACAGCTGTAAACACAAACTAAAGTAAGCAAAGCAGTGTTTGGAGGCCTAAAATTTGGTGGCCCTTTACCCCTTCAGACAATCAAGTGCCTCCCAGCAGGGTAGGAACCTACACTGTTCCAATAATTTACATAAGAAATTAGCAGCCAAAATTTACATCTGAATGGCAACCCCCCAGAAGCCCATCAGGTGTTAAGTATCTGCTTATCTAAATTGCCTCTAAAAATAGCTTTACCTTCCTTTAAGTCTTAGGTAAATAGAAGATTTCCCATGAAGGGAAGGTGGTATGCCAAAACAAATCCAGGCACTATATTGCCCTATTTCACTGTCATTTTCATAAGAAAAATTTCAGGGCTGTTCTGCCTTTGAGTGAGAGGACACTTAGAACTTAGATCTTAGAATGAGCAAATGGAAAAAGCTATGGAAAAACTATGAACTATTAAATTATGAACTAATTAGTAATTAGGCTGGGACAGCCAGAAAACAGCACTGTAAACCACTAAATGGAGGGAAGAGGGTATAATTTGTCACATCATCAAAACTATGAAATACTGAAAATGCTGTATGTAGGATTTTCTGATTAAAAGCGTGGTTAAAGCCTTGGTGGAAGAGAAGGTTGACAAAAATAAATAAAATCGGATTATTGGGGTATGTACGTTTTAACCTTCTATTAGATAACAATATACTGGATGAATGTTCAAAATAAATGAAAGAGATAAATATACAACACCTGGTATCTCTGTTATTGTTTTGAGAGTGGAACAGAAAGAATTAGGAAGAGAGAAGACTAAAAGAAAAAAAGTTCCTAAGATAGTAGCATTCTTGCAGGAAGCACTGGGAGGACTGAAAAAGTCCTGCCCTAAGTCTAGGCTTGCCTTTGCCACATACCATCTCAGAGAAGTCATTCGACTGCTGTGAATTTCAGTCTGTTCATCTATAAGATGGGGTGATAAATGCTGGTCTTTCTTAATAGACACCTGCTATGAAGTCACAGGTGATATGTGAGCGGGAGCATAAGCATTCCTCATTCCTTTCTGTAATTACTGGTTTCCAGCCTTGAGCACCACACGCAATGATTGGAAACTAGCCAGACAATATTAGAGGAATTGAAAAAAAAGAAGAAAAAGGAAACCCACCATCTGTAGTGCAAGACCCTTCTGGGGCAGGTTTTTGTGAATAGGGGATTGGTGGGCTATTTGAATCAGACATTTCTTCATCATCTTCGTCATCTTCCATTTCATTAACTGTTAGATTGTTAGAAAAATCCAGGCTTCCATTTTGAGTGTAGCGGTGTACCAAATCTTTATCCAGATCCTCCACCTTGGGTTTTACATCTGGGTAAGCAAATAAATCATAGCTAATTTAACAACAACAACAACAATAATTTAAAAATACTTGCGGGAAAATTACCAAAGAAAAATTCATAGTTCTGAAAGATAGCTGAGGACAGGGAGACTGGCGTTGGCTAACATTTAACCCGTTTATTTCAGAGGTTCCCCAGACTTGGAATTCCCATTTTTAAAAAAAGGAGCCTAGAATGTGTGGGATCGAGAAACTTACCTGCAGATGAGAAAGGATGGTGGTCAGGGTCCAAGTACAGCTGGGAAAAAATTGGCCGTGGGACCACACTACTACATCTGAGAGAGGCTTCTATGGAGTTGTGGAGGGCTTCCTCAAATCGAGCAGATTTCAGTTGCCCAGCATATGAATTCCCCATGGTCTACACCACCCCTCAAAGAAAGAGAAAGAAAGGAGAAAACTGATAGAATTAGAGGGCAATATGTCTGCAAAGCACACATATAGCTGATACAAACTCTATCCATATACCTTGCTAAGACTGTATGAACTTTACCTATACTTAAGACAACTTATCAATTTATCTGTTATGTCACTTTTGCTTCTTGTCTTAACTGTCTAAACCCATTTCAAAAAGCCCCTTTAAGGGAGCTTGTATCTGGGAATCAAACCATAATAAATGCTTTAAGTCAAGGTTCTCCAACCAGTAAATCAAGACTGACCTGTCAGTCATGAAGCCCAAAGTGGCGACAGTGGGGCCACACCTCCCCCTTAAACTGGTAGGCTACCGTGACCCCACAGGGACACTATCAGTGGTTTCACAGCAAATGTCAAATTATTTCTTTCTCTACTAAGATCTTATTGTCTTAGGGGGGAAAAGATTCTTCTCTGGAAAAACAAATGAAAGATTTATGACAGTACATTTAATTGACAAATTTCTGAAAGCAAGATTTGAGCTTTATAAACTCAAAGAACTTGTCTGTGTATTATTAGTGTTTATTTGAAAAACATTTTGCTTAGTCTGAATCACAATCTTACTTGGTACCATTTACGAAAGTGTAGAACAGGAAATTTTGAAGCAGCCGGCATTACTATACTGGCTAAACCAACGATTCTCAAAGTATGTTCTGAGGTTCCCAAGGCCCTTTCTGGGGTCCATGATGTCAATACTCTTTACAAACTATTACTAGGTATTTGCCTTTTTCATTCTTCTTCTCATATGTGTACAGTGGAATTTTCCAGAGGCTATATGATGTGTGATATTGCAACAGACTGAATCAGAAGCAGACAGACTACTCTTTTTGCTAACATTTTTTGGGGAAAATACAGTTATTTTCATAAAATGTTACGTTGATATATAATGGATTTATTCTTAAATTATAAAATTAATAAATATTTTGAAATTTTCTTAGTTTTAATTTCTAATAAACATAATCCACATAGACAAAACTCAGTTCTTTTTAAGCATATAAAGGGATTATGAAGTGAAGAGTCTGAGAACTGTTGAGCTGGACAGTCTACTAAGCACTTCTAAAAGTTATTTTATTTCACTCTCAGTATTCTGAAGTAGGTATGACCTCTTCCCATTTCACAGATGAAAAAACTAAGGCTTGAAGAAGCCAAGTGACTTTCCCACTATCACCCAGCTGGTAAAGGTCAGAACTCAATATCCAAATGATAAATCCTGCACTCCTCAAGTTGGGTAAATCTCCTGCAATTTTGAGAATATCTTAGTTTCACTTATCCCATCAAGGAGAGGGGTAGATACTAAATTTCATCTGTATCTCCAGCTCTGATTGCCTTCCTAGAGAACTGATTGAGAGGACCCTGAGCATGCATCGGGCTCAATATATAGCATAGCCTCTATACATAGGCTTCTTACACAATTCCTGGTAGCAGTGAATAGTATACAGAGATTACCATCAGAGTGTCTCAGTTTATCAAAGCTTTGCTAGAAAATCCCATGATTTGGAGAAAAGCTGGAATCACATTTTGGCAACCTTTCTCATAGTAGATAATAAGAAACCAAATGCTATGGGTTTAAATTACTAGGTTCCTTTCCACAAGAAAAAAAAATTTTGTAAATATGTGAGGTGACAAATGTTAACTAAACAAATTGTAGTCATAATTTTGTAATATATAATATCAAACAATTATGCTGCACACCTAAAACGAATACAATGTTGTATATCAATTACATCTCAATAAAGCTGGAAAAAATTACAAAGTTCTTTCTTACAACGAGTACATATACCCAAGTATATGTATGATACTCAATTCAAAGTTGTACATGGAAGAAAATCAACAAAGCCCATCAAATGAAATTTTCCTGAAATACCAAGTTTTTGTCCAAGCTCATAAAATCCCACCAGTACAAACAAATATAAACATTTAATTTTTCTAAAGCTCAAAAGCAATTTATTTTTCAACAGAACCATGCATAATCAAAACAGGGTGGGGATTGGAAGAGAAACATGCTGTGTCACTAGTCTATGCACCTAGGTCAAAATCCGATGGCCATTTCACCCTTCTTCTTCACTGAAGGGAGAAAAATGCCAGGGGCTAGCACCGTCAACCATGGGATTTCTTATCCGTGGAAAACAATGGAATAACTTCAAAGGTGGACCTTTAGCCTTTCTCCAGAGCACCAAATGCCTGGAAATCTTGCCTCTTCTTAATCTATTACCTGTTCAACAAGTTATCTTCCTTTCATCCTTGAAAACCTACATTCTCCAAGAGATCCTTTTAGTTGAATTAAAGAAGAGCCCAGTTATACAAGGAGGACTGCATAATCTCAGTCCCGTCAATACAGACATAGTTTAAGGAGTAATAAATGCAGACATAGTTTAAGGAGTAATACAACAGATACGTCAAATAAATATTGTGCTGATTGAAAATATTAAATCAACATTAAAAATGGGTGATCGAGTTTCACCATCATAGAAGATACACATAGTCCTACAGAAGCATAAACCTGAGCAATACTCAGATGAAGACAAAGGGATGTACTTATGGAACAGCCTTGGGAGAGTAAAAAGAAGTGGCTGACTATTCCAGATGAAAACATAACTGGGCATTTTTAAAGATAATGATAATGTGAAGAATTTCAAAACTGACCCCAGACTTCTTTAGTGCTGAGTGTGAAGTTCTTCCCTTGACAGTTAGATGCTACCCAAAGAAGGGCAGAGTTCAAAGGAAGAAGCCTTTTTAGTGCAATGTATTCTTAATGTCATATGCTGTATTATTTAGAGTCACTGACATTGTTGGCCTTATCCACCTAGACTACCAGCCTTCCTTTTCTCTGAATCTCAAAGAGCCCCCAGTGCCCAAGATGGCATAACATCCCACTGAAATCAATGTGAATAAATCTACCTGCAGGTCTGAAAATGGAGAAGTACTTTTTAGAATCAGTTGTTAAATGAAATACAACAAGGAAGCAGACTTGTGGTTTCCATACATACATACATATTTTATGTATCTGGCTGACATTAAGTTTGTGAGGTTGCATTATATTGCTTTTTCCATGCTTTCTTTCATTATTGTGAAACTACACAAGGGAAAACTATATTAAATGTTTTGTTACAGCACTACAGACTTCTGAGATGCTAACAGGCACTCCTGGGCTACTGAGGAAATCTCTAAGAAAAGGATGGCGCACAGTATGAGCTCTTTCTGCACCACTAATTAATTGCTCAGAATGCAAGTGGGATCCAATACAAACCACCACGACATTGTGGTTTGGTGCCTTTCTGCTCTAGCCTTTCCCCTTCTCTACAGAAAGAAAGGCAAAAGAAGAAGGGCAGAGTAGAGCAGGCAGCTTCCATCACTGGGGGCTTTAGGAATCAGGGCTGCAGCAGTAAGGGAAAGGGTAGCTTGGCAAACAGGTGCCTGCGGACCCCTCCATGCCTTTCCTCAACTCTTCTGTTGGAGGTGGAAAGGAGAAGCAATACACCTTGAGGGAGTGTTTTCACTCCCTTTTTGTCAGTGGCTACATGGTTAATAATTACTGTATTATTAATGCAGGAATGACTTTTACAGTAGTTATTAAGTACACAGGGGACAAGGAGAAAATTTTCCTGTAACTTAACTCCCCAAAGACTTTCTACAATTAAAGCACGAGATCAGATTTCTGAATATGTACAATACTCCGATTTTTCAAATGTTCAGCTATGCGTGAAGCACCTGTCACAGCAGCAGGCATCTAGCAGGCGGTTGATATGACTGGTAGTGGTCACAGTGGTGATGGTGGCAGCAACAGTTGTTGTCATTGTCAAGAAGTGTGAAAGAAAGCATTCTTCTTTGAACCATTATAAAAACAGCAACATGGGAAACTTACTATTACTGCTCTCACTTTTAGGAGAACCGAGGCCTGGAGAAGTTAAGGAACTTGCCCAAGGTCATACTTGCCCAGTGGCCAAGACAGGGGTGCAAGCTAATCACTTTGTCTACAACACCAGCTGTCTTAGGCTATCTAATCACGGATGCCATCCAGTTCTTAAAACACCTACAGTGATGACCTAATTGGATAAATGGAGACTCTGAGAAGTATTATTAAATTGCCAAGGCAAGCCAGGCCCCCAAACAAACAAACAAATAAGTAAGAAAGTAAGTGAATCAAGGAAGAAGATTTGTTTGTTTGTTTGCTGATTTGTCCTTGTCTACGTATATCACGGCTGCAAGACAAGACTGAAAAGGGCGTTTTAATACAGAATATGGGGCCAACATGCATAAAGCCAAGTGACAATTTGAAAAACTGAAACAAAATAAAACTACCACCTCTCCCCTCAATTAAAAAAAAACCCAAACCTCACTGTCAGTGTTAGATGAAAGGTAAAGATGAGCCAAGTATAAATTCCATCACAAAGAAGAAGTAAATTACCCCTGGGTAACTTTGAGGGATTGGTTCCAGGACTCTGGTGGATAACAAAATCCGTGGATGCTCGAGTCCCTTACATAAAAAGACTAGTCCAGCCGGCCCTCCCAATGAGTGGGATGATTGAGTCCATGGATGCAGAACCCCTGCGTACGGAGGCTAGCTGTGCACACACACAGGAGAGGAAGCACGGCCTGCCCCCACTCCAAAGCAGCAGATCAGTTAGCATCATCGTCCCCTGATTTGGGGGGGCTCTTAATTCTCTTGCCGACACAGTTTTTCTTCCCATTGCTCTCCACTTTAGAAGACGCAGTCACATTTCCTTAATTCATTACATGGCAAATCTAGAAATCAAAAACATTCTTAGCAACCTCCTAAAATGTTGGGAATGTTTACATAACTCTTCCTGTTTTTCTCCAATCTTCCCCTTTTCTAAAAGAAATTTAAACTTTCTCAGTAAAGACAAGAAAAAGTTTTCTAAAGGTCAAATGATAAAAAAAATGAAACTGTAAGTGTTATCTTCCTTAACTTCCTTCTCACACCAGTGTAAAATTAAATGCTAGATTTCATTCATTGCCCAGTCTGCTGCT